TTCAGCCCAGCGGTCCCATGGATCGCGAGCCGGGCCGTGGGGACCGAGCTGGGCCGGGCCCAGTGTCGCTCTCTGCGGGACACCGCCGGTCACAGCCCCCGGGCTCCCGTGCCCTGGCGTCCAGCAGCCCTGCCCCAAGCCGCCTCCCCGGCTCCTCCAGCCCCAGCTCGCTCCCTGGCTCTTCCCGGGAGGCTGGAGCGAGATCCCGGGGGATCCCTGTCTCCGCAGACCTCGACGAGTGCGAGGTGTACCAGCAGGAAGGGGGACCCCGGCTGTGCGCCCACGCCTGCATCAACACTCCCGGCTCCTTCCGCTGCTCCTGCCCCGCCGGGTACGTCCTGCTGGGCGACGGCAAGAGCTGCGAAGGTGAGGGGGCTGGAATGCACTCGGTCCCAAGGGCTTTGGCATTTCCCCCCAGCTTTTTCTCCATTTCCAAGGGAGAGGCTGGTGCAGAGGGGAGGGAGATGATGGAGCCACGCTTTGCGGGATGGCAGCGGATGGAGGATGTTTGGGTTGGCAGGAGCCCCAGCTGGATGCAGAGCTGGATGGGGAAATGAATCCCAGAGTTGTGCTGGGGAAGGGAAAACTCCACCAGAGTGCTTCAAAAGAATCCCTAAAAATGAAAATAAAATGCTTTCCTTGAAGCATGGCTGCTCCTTCTCTTCCTTCTCCTTCTCCTTCTGCTTCTCTTTTCCCTCGCCCTTTCCCTCTCTCTCGCCTCTCTGGATGATGGAGCAACACTTTGGGTCTGCACCTCCTTGAAGATGACCCTGCTGTGGCTGTGGGGATGTTCCTGGAGCAAGGAATTCCTGGGAAGAACCGAAAGCGATGTTAAACCCCCAGAATTCCAGGATCAGCTCAGAGGCTGGCAGTCCCAAGGGAATTGGGGTGCAGGTGGAAGGCAGTGGCTGGGAATGGTGGGAGGCCACAACTACTGAAAGCCTCCTGAAGAAACAGGGAAGTTTTTGTGCCCCGAAGTGTTGATTGCTGCGGTTCAGGGTAGAGAAAATCCCGATTTCCCCATTGCTCCCTGATTTTCCTGCGTTCCGTTGGCATCTCGCTAGTGACCCCAGCAAATCCTCTGCATTCCAGCTCCTGCCAGGTGTCCCTCGGGTGGTCAGTAAATGAAAAGGGATGGGGTTTCCAAAGAACCGAGCAGAAAGGTTGGGAAAGCAGCTGCCTTCCTTCTGGGAGAGGGCTGCTCTTAACCCGGCCCGGGGCTGAGCCTGGGGAGAGGAGATGGAATTCCGGGATGCTCCCGTATTTTTTGCATCGTGTTTGACCAGTTTCAAGGCGGTTTTTGGTATTTTCTGACAGGAAGGTGAGCTCAGCTGGAGTTCAGTTCCAGGCCTTGACCCCTCTTCCCGCCCCTCTTTTCCAGATATTGATGAGTGTTCCCTATCCCAGGATAACTGCACGAGCGGGAGCAGCTGCATCAACACGGGCGGGGGATTCCAGTGCGTCACCCCCGAGTGTCCCCCGGCCGCCGGCAACATCTCCTACGTCAAAACCTCCCCCTTGTAAGTGCGGGGCACCAAATCCACGGCGCGCCATCCCCGCGGATCCATCCCCCCGCCCCCCCAAAAAAACCCCTCCGTGGCTTTTCCTTCTGCAGCCGCTGCGAGCGCAACCCGTGTCCCATGGAGAGCCGCTCGTGCCACCAGGCCCCCAAAACCATCTCCTTCCACTACCTGCCGCTCCCCTCCAAGGCGCGGGCCCCGGTGCCGCTGTTCCGCATGGCTCCGGGCCGGCCGGGCCCGGACAGCCTGCGCTTCGGCATCGCGGGCGGCAGCGGCCGCGGGCACTTCGCGGTGCGGCGCTCGGAGCGGCACGCCGGGGAGCTGCTGCTGCTGCACGGCCTGCAAGGGCCCCGCACCCTGCACGTGGATGTGGACATGGCCGAGTACCTGGATCGGGCCTTCCAGGCCAAGCACCTGTCCAAAATCACCCTCTTCGTCTCGGCCTATGAGTTTTAAGTGAGGGGGATTGTTCCTTGATCCCTGCTCGGCCGCCCGTGGCTCCCGGGGGAGGTCCAGGCTGGAGCCGGCTGCCGCTCTGTCCCAGAGGTCTCCATCCCGGGGGGATTTACGCCTGCCTGGGTGGATTTACACCACCAAATGAGGTGGAGAAGTCCCATCCTCATCCCGGCTACAACAGCAGATGAAAACCACAGCCCTGATTTCCTTTGAATTCCCATTTTTTCCTTTAGGAAGCGGCGAAGCCGAGTGTGGAGTGGGAGAGAGGCTCACGGCCTTTCCCGCTCTCCTCCCTTGTTGCACCCAGACCTGATCCCTAAAAACACACTTCTGCTTCCCTGTGGATGCTGAGAATCCCCCTGGCAGCCTGAGAATCCTGGGATCCCTGTGGGGATTGAGGTCTAGTACCCCTGGGATCCATCAGGGCTGGAAAACTCCGTGGACATCCACCTGGGTGCCCTCTCTGGCAAGCGGGGCAAAGGAGCAATTCCAGGGCTATCCTTGCTCCTCCAGCCTCCCAAACAGGGATCCCCCATGGATCCCCCTCCCAGCAGAGCTTCAGCTGCACGTGGAGGTGGGAATATTCCCTGCTGCATCAGCCAGAGCCTCCATGCCGGCGTTGGAACGCTGGGGAGAGCTGGGATTCGGCTTCTCCCGGGGGGATTCACCCGCCTGCTTGTGCATGTTCCGCATGTTCCCTCATCCCGCTGGATTTAGCACAATTAAAGGATGATGTAAAGGATGGCACCGGAGTGAGGCACCTGATGGATGTGTTGGATGGGGAGAATGCTCACCCGGAGCACTCCAAGGGGAATTGGGATCCGGGAGGGCAAGAACCTGTTATCCGTGGGTTTATTTTCCTGTTTTGTTGTGTTTGGGAGGGGCTGGCTGATAGCAGGGAGCTCATTCCCACCGGAGCATCCTTTCCCCTGGGAATCCTCATCCCTGAGCATCCTTTCCCCCGGGAATCCTCACTCCCTCACATCCTGCCCAGCTGCACCCACCGAAACCATTCCCACTCCTTGTCCTGGGGAAAGAGGCTCCCCCAGACGGATCAGTCTCCTCTAGGGGATCCAGCTCCTGGATTTTTGGGGGGTACGGGAGCTCGGGAAGAACAAGAAGGGACATTCAGGGCTGCTGTCAGCGGATGGAGGATGTTTGGATTGGCAGGAGCTCCGGCTGGACACGGAGCCGGGCAGGGAAATGTATCCCAGGGTTGTGCTGGGGGAGGGAAGCGAAAACTCTGGAGTTCTTAAAAAAAAATCCCTAAAAATTAGGAGAAAATGCTTTTCTAGAAGCACGGCTGCTCCTCTCCTCTCCTTCTCTCCCATTCCCTGCCACTTCCCAGCCTGGCTGGACGTGCTCCTCCAACAGGCCACGGGCCTATTTTGGGATGATAACAAAATGTGGGAGCCGAAAAGCAGGAATCTGGGAGAGGACAAGCTCCTGACCGGGCAGAATCGTTTCCATCTGCCGCTTTCTCCGGATAACACAGCTGGAGACGGGCGCCTGGACCGCGCTCCGGAGGCTTTTCCTTGCGGCACGATCCCAAACTGACAACATTTTCCTAATTCCCGAGGCCAGGGTGAGCTGGTTTCTCCCTTCCAGCCCTGGAAAAGTTTAAGTTCGGCTCTTTGCCTTTCTCAACCTCTGGCTGCCGTTCCAGTTGACTAAAGGAGATTTTTTTCCCTCCCCGGAGTGGCCACTCCGGAATATTTCAGACTTCCTGAGGTTGGAATTTGCAGAGAGAGGCTCTTCCAATCTTGGAATACAACCTTCACTGGGGGAAATAATATTTAGGAGCTGAAAAAAAATAAAAATAAAAAATAAAAAATAATAATAAAAAAATAAAAAAAAATAAAAATAAAAATAGCAGGAACGCTTCTGCTTCCCTTTGGTGGGCACAGTTGGCCTCAGATGCGCTGTCCCAAAAATCACCATTTCTCACCCCAGAATATTTAACCAAAACTTTAGGATTCTCCCTTCTAGTCCACGTTTAGAACCCCTTTTTTCCTTGCCTGTGGCCTGGGGAAATGATGCTGAGCCCTGTGAGCCTCAGCTCCAGGGCTCCACCTGTGCTGATGGCGCTAATTAGTCCTAAGTAGCCCTAATGATGCTTCCCCAGCCAGCAGCGGCCCGTCCCTGCAGGAATGCTGTTTTCCAGCCTTTTCCTTGGGTTTACCTGATTTCCCCGAGGGTCTGGATCCTGTTCCTACACTCAGGTGTCATGGGAGACGATTCTTCCCTTAAGGATCTGAGGCTCTTCCCACCGGGAATCCCATGGGAATGCATACGAGTCCCGCCTCGTTTTTATAAACTTTATTCGACTGCTAGCACTGGAAAAAGCCGAGCTTTTTTTTCAGTGTCCTGAAAAGCTCTGAGAGGCAGGGAAAGGAAAAAAATGGAACTTTTCCCGGGAATGTTTGATGCAGCGTCATTGGGGTGACTCTTGACGGACGCGTCTTCCCTTCGCCCACCACATTTTTATTAAATGACTGGCTTGGAACCACTTTATCCCGCCTTTTGTCACGCCCTGACCCCGACGGCGACTCCAGGGACAGCTTTTGGCCCGCCCTGGGGCCACGCGCTCTTGGTTTAATTACGAGCGTCACTAATTAATGACCGCGCGGGCCGCTTCCCCTCACGCGCACCCGCCGCCAGGGGGCGCTGCCCACGGCGCG